CGTTGTTTGGCCAATACTCGAATCACTGGCCAATAGAGATGACGGTTCGACACGTTAAAGGGCGGGGTTTGGCGCCTGAGTGTGAGGAAATTTCGAGACTTCGACGACGTCTCGCTAAGTTACGTGTCCTCTGAACTAACAGCTTGCGGCGCCTGTGGCAAACGGCCTCGCTTTCTTTGAGGAGGAATATCTTCCCTCAACCTGTGACTCCCCTGCTGGCGACATGAGCTCCCCAGATGAGGTGTCAGCCCCTGAAGTCAGTGGTGACAAGGATGTCCCGTCTACCGGGGACATGAATTCCCAGGATATGGCGTCTGCGCCTGAAGCTGACTTGGGCCAGGAGGGCAGGGAGCACTTAGGAGACACTCTGATCAACCCCAGAGTTCCAGAGGGTGAAAGCCTCGTCCAACGTCCTCTGGAGATTAGAGAGGGTGAGGGCGGCCTGCCACGTATTGAAAGCTGTGAGTTGAAGTCTGGGCCTAAGTTTGAAGCAAGAGAAGTAGAAGAAGGGGTGCTTACGGACCCGGCAGGCCCGACCAGTTCCCCCGTGGGCCAAGAAGAAGGCGGAGAGGTCAGCGGGTACTTCTTGCCCCAGCTCAGTATTGAGGCTATGACTATAATGAGAGAGCTGACCGACCTACAGGCCCGAAAATTCTGCAGGTACCCGTCCCCACAAAGCTGTGCCGCTGAACTGACTGCCCTTTGGAGTAGTATAGGTGAAGGCTCCAACAGAGGTGCAGAGCCCGTGAGCTCTGGAGAAGGGAAGCAGGTCTCTACAGGCTCACTGTACCCTAGGGGCCTGGGGCGAAGCAGAGCCTGGGTGACCTCGAGAAGAGGCACCACAAGTAAGATGGTGCGCAGTGAAGCTGTCCAACGGTCCACCTCAAAACCTGCTTCTGATGAGTCCAGTGATTCACAGACGATGAAGGTGACCATTTGCCTCAAAGAAGGAAACCAGGCCAAGTCCAGTGGCCGCACTGAGCTGGAAGACTCAGGCAAACACACAAATGTCCAAGGCAGGGGAAGATTCGTCCATGTGCCCCCCTCTGTACTGTCCAGTGCTACCCGGAGGTTCAGCGCGGGCCTGGAAAAGCCAGTTTCAGGGGAGCCGGAAGGCTCTCTGTGTAAGAAAAGGCAAAGTATGGTCTGGGGCAAAGAAGGGAGCAGACCAGGCTACCCAGGAGCTTCTGCTGCCTCTGTGTCTACTGCTGCAGCCAACTCTGCTGCTGCCCCTGCTCCTGTTGCTTCAGGTGCTTTGCCCAAGACCAATACTAGAAAGAAGACAGCACAGGAGAAGAAGTCCTTGTCAGATGCCTCAAGAGGACCCCTGGGAAGAACCTTCCCACCTTGGGGGCAAAGACTCAAGTCAGCTCCTGTAGAGCCAGCTACCCTGCCCCCAATCTCTGGGGTTGCTCTGATAGGGAAGACCAGTAAAAACTCACTGCCTTCAGGACCCAAAGACTGCAAGCCCTTCTGCACTGGGAAGAGATCCATGGCAAGGAAGACAAAGGAATCCCAGCCAGGGGCCAAAGAAGATGATGACCAAACCAGAAATCCTGGCTTGCAGGCCCAAGTGAGTACAGCAGCCTCTGTCTCCTCTCACCCTGCCTTTCCCTCCCCCAGCACATACCATTGCCCTGTTCCGTCTGTCCCTTCAGAGGGTATGTAGTCAGTCTCAAGGGCCTCCTGATTCCTCCCTCCTAGCTCTTCCCCAAGGAAGCCAGGCCAGGACCTGAGCCTTTCCATTGCCTGTGGGCTCCTTGCTGGCAGAGCTCATCCCCTGACCTGAGCCTCACAAGCCTCCATTTTGTTCCCTCACTTGCCCTTCAGCCCCTCCACAACATGTACTCAGTGAGAAATTTTTGTGTGAGCTTCCAACACACAGGGCAGAGCAACCTTCCACGTGCACGAATCATAGAGAAATGACCAGTGGAGATGCCAACTTCAGAGCACCCCAAGTTCCAGGAAACTCCCAGCTCTTGACCTTGAGCCAGAGAAGTTCCAGATCCAGAGGACCTGCACAGGCTGGTGAGTCTTTGGGGTTTCAGAGCAGTGAGGAAAGACAGGGAAAGGAAGGAAACCTTAGGCTCTGTTCCTTTGGGGGATTGCAGCCTTGTTCCTTGGGCTTCCCTGTCTGGGTAGGTAGGGAGTCCACAGGAGACTGGGTACAGGCAGTGCTGGCCTCAGGCCACATTGTGAAATGAGTGGGACTTTGGGATGCATGACTTTAAAAGGTGGGACAACTCCAACTCCACAGGCTGTCCTTTAGCACACCAGAGTTTTGCTAGGGAGCCCTGCTCAAGCACTGAATTCCTTCATGGATATAGCCATGGGTAATAGTCCTGATAGCCTTGGCTCAGGGCCACAGTATTAGGGTCTCACAGCACCTTTATGCTGTCTCTGGGCAAGAATAAAGGAGGAATAGAGCTGGATAGAACTGAGGACCTAAAAGGTATGTGTTGCTCCCAGTAGAGGGTATTGCTGCCTCATTTT